AATGTGAGCATTATTCTTTGTATGAGTAGAGTCAGTCTAAGCCTACAATAACCCAATAAGTAAATTCTATTCAGGCCGAGTTTCTCTCGAATAAAACCGATTCCTTTTAATCAAATGCGATTGCTTACGTATTTCTGACATTGAAATGCACACTTCACAAGATACTTAGCATGCATGAGATGATGGGGGTGACTATTGTAGTTAGTTTCTCCGCTCGAATCCAAATATACGTGATTATTTTGACCAAACTGGAATCGACCCCAACGGTTGATAGCTTGTACCATTTACACCCTAACGATCAGCAAAATGTCGACCTGCTCAACCTAGTCTACTGTTTTTACATGGTCGTTCGGTTTTAATGATGCATGAACTTTCTGCCTCGATTTCTCTTTAATCACCACGTGCACTGGAAAACACTGCCTACCGAGGGACTGGTTGTGTATTAAACTATCAACGAAGGCAAAGTGGATAACCAACACACTGTAGTTGTAAATGTACCCTAAAGACTGCTCATTCTGATAAGGAATCCACATTTTAATTTTAAACTTAACATTTATCAAATAAATTTGATCTCATTCTGGCAAGTACAACACTCCCTTACCGTTTTTCGTAATAAATAACTCTCCTGGTCCGACGCTGTCTTGTAGGTATATAAAAATGGGAATGGAGGTACTGATTAAGATGAAGCTTAAGGAAATGGTGTTCTAAGAGAAGCTATTTTACAGGTGCGTCTCAAAGTCAGAACAAAACCAAGAAGACTACCAAGGGCTTAACATGATTTTGAATTTTAGGACCCATAGCCAAAGGAAGGAGTTTTCTTTGGGAACTCTATGTAGATCCTTTGAGTTATAAGCTAGGACCAAAAAGTAAAGGCCATTTAGTTGTCTTACAGTGAAATATATGAGTCTTGACTGAGTAGATTGACTCATGAGGGCGTGCAACATCGATCCAACTCCCGGTTGTGATCGCAGAACTTTCGTGTTCTTTTACTCATACCAATTCAAACCGGGATTTGATTTGTTGTGTTTACAGATCGTATGACGTACCTCGTCCCATCGATTTGGTCCTCGGCTTCACATCCAATTTTCAGCCTCACATACTATCAGTCAACCAAAACATGAACGGAATGCACTTTTTATGACTGGTCTCTGTATAACTTAGGCAGATGGCGGACTTTCTGTAAGATGCAAGGATTGGGACGATCGGAAGAAAAACCTAATTATTGAAATCCAGCATTCATCGTTTATCTACGTCTCCTCGCAGTAGTTTAGTGTCTTCCGCACTGTTCAGTCCTGTTGATATAAGAATAAAGCTCTTTTAGTGTTTTTGTAGACTTGCATTGACGTTTTTTTACCTTCCAAGCGCGATAGCACCTTTGGCTTTTAGAAGATTTCCTGACCATTTCTCGTAATAGGGGAGATGGGGTGGGTGCATAAGAATTCCTACAGCTTCCACTGTAGTTAGCCTACAAAAGCGATCCTGCTCAGATAGTTCACGGTGAAATCTATGCAAGAGCTGAATTTCTCAATCACGTTCAGTGTAACTTGTTGTAACTAGGTTTTAACCCACTGCACTAGTGTTTTTTTTTAAATAAAAAACTTTAGTGTGACGAACTGCAGACAGGGTTAGCCCCATAGTCACGGAGACCTGCTATTTATTGATGGAAACAGGTAACCTATACCCCGGGACTTGGAGTGGTGAACCACACAAGTGAGCAAATAAGTTCTTCCGGTGTTTCACCACAAATCGTGATCCGTTGGGACAATCACCCGACTGTGTGGCCCATTCACCTTGTTCCATAGTATTTGTCAGTCCGATCTCATGTCGGAATTTGACCTTAATAATCATTGATGTCAGCTCTCACTCCCCTCTTTATGGCCTGTTGCTGTTTATCGTTTTGTATTGAGACGACTAGGGATCAACAAAAACGTGCTTGTTCACTACTCTGTTTTAATTCAGCTTCGCTTTGTTGGACTGCTCAATTATGACACCACTGTTTAATTGGGCGAGCATCATCTGCTCGTACTCAGCCATGCTAGTCTGATTTGCCCCGGTTTTCCACACCGTGATATGACCTTGGTTTCCACTCTGTAGGACTGCCTCGAGCGATCCGACAGAATAAGCTCAGGCTTGCTTTCTAGTATTTTCGTGGTTAAGTCTTTTTCTTCATCTTAGATGGCTCAGCCGTCTAAACAGGATGACCGTTCGTTTTTCAGAACCGACATCTTTTTGAATTATAAGCACAAAGATGCAAAATGGCCTAGTTTTCCCGGACAGCCTTATTTATTTGCCATTCCCTTTGCAAAATGGGGTTTTTTACTGATCAGCTCTCAAATATCATCAGCTCTGAGCTTATTAGTTCTTATGATGTGTGTGTGTGTGTGTGTGTGTGTGAGCGTACTGTAGTCCACAAACCAAAGGTGATTTCTCAAGAACAAACGCACAGTTATTGAGTGCAAAGTGCTACCTTTATCCATAATTGAAAAAATACAATTCATGCTAGAACGGGGCGATTTTGAAGATCATGGAATTTTGTGTATTTGTATGTGTGAACTAGTCAGAGCCTGGGCAGTGGAATAGGATAGGATAGGGTTCAGTTGAATTTTTGGGGTCTCTTGGTGCATTTGTTTATTTTTGTGTGATAAAAGTTTTACATACTGTCCGTTGGGAAATCAAATCGGTGAGTGCATGTGTATTAGTTGTTAGTGTATTGTTGTTAGTCTTGTTGATGTCGATATTAATTTTGATATCAGCAGTACGTGTGGTCGGCGGTGTTGGTGGGGCCGGGAGAGAGATTGCAAATAGGTATTTCAGGCAACGCTATACAACCAAGGAAATAGGAGCAAAAAAGAACGATCGGGAAACATTGTCCGACGAAGGAAATGGAAAACAAACAAACGGTCAAATTGATAGAGGAAATCAGAGTGCGAACATATGCACGGGGACATGCCTCTGATGTTCAGTTGGTTTGTTCTTTGTCTGGCTGGGTTGATGCTAATCAAGACTTTCTTTCAACGAATCGTCTGTATTTTCTTGTCGTGGTGGAACTGCATAGAATGCCCAAGGAGAACTGGGTCCCTGGTCTTGATGTACCGTCCCCGTGGGCGATTGTAATAGACGAGGTAATTCGAACCGCTTTCTAGTTTTACTACTGCTGTTATTGGTGCCACCACTGTTGTTATTAGTGCCAATGATGGTGGTTTTATTAATTAGATTCACGTCGGAAATATGTTTATCCGCCTTGATTATGGTTGATCCACTCAATTCATCCTCTTCTTCAGTTTCAAGCTCTCCTCTTTCGTCATCTTCTGATTCACCTACGTGTCGAATTTTTGTGGCAGATATTTCGGGATGACTAGGACCGGAATTAGTCGTGATACGAGCGATATGGGGCACCGGATGCGAATAGATTGATCTATGTGAGTTGATTGTGTCAGCTCCACCGCGGATGGCGCTTATACGCAATGCGGTCTCTGCGGTCACCGGAATCAGAGACCAGTCGTCTGCACGGAGAATTCCGGATGATTGAAGTCTGGGTGAGCTCTGATCTCTGTAACGATCCGACCCCGGGACTGATTCAAATTGTTCCATTCCGGCAGAATCAGTCTCATCCGCATAGACTGGATGATAAGCGGCTTCCTGGATTGGATATCGAGCTGCCCAAGGGGTGTTTGCTTCTGCATACATCCTAGATTCACCTCGCGGTTGATACTGTAGATTGAGACAGGGGACTTGAATCACTGTGCTGGGAGTGGAAGAACGTCCAGAACTTAGATAGTTTGCAGCGTAGGGTATATGTAAGTCCATGTTACTGGCGTAACGGTTCCTGGCACGCATTCGAAGTTTGTAGGCTGAGATATTGTCCCAATCCACATCTTTAACATGACGACCTATCGGAGGTGAAACAAGCGAAATTGGAAAATTAGTTGAATTCTGAAATTATAATGCGTGTTATCTTTCAAAGAAAACAAATGCATCTCTCAGCCTTTAAATCCCATCCCGATTGCCTAAATATCTCTAAGGAGAGATCTGGATGAAGCAAATAGGAAACATTTTGAGAATGATTTTTTTAAATATTGGTGCACAATCCATGCGCTATGTTTATCCTATGATTGGTATCATTTAGTGCATAAGATGCGCTGAATCATGCATTGTAAGCTTTTGGCTTGATTCATTCCGTAGTTGGATCGCTTGAAGATGAGTACGATAATCTTCCTAACATTTGACTGGCAACCGTGCAACATTCATTTTTACGCACAGCGCTCATTGTACACGCCGGAATCACTAGATTCGAGTTGCGCTCCCGATAGATCATGAAAATGTTACATATTCTTCGAATCACCCTGGGTTGGGATACAAAACCCCTCACACCGGGGCGTGACCATAATTACGTAGTAGCGATTGGTCGAATAACTTATTTACTGACCATCAGACAGTTGTATACCCGAAGGCTCGAAAGAGGCTATTGAATCTATTACAAATACAGAAAAACAAGAACCGAAATAACGCTTATTACAGACAATTACATCCAAGTGCTTGTAACCAATTGCCGTACCGATTCACAACGTTTGATCATTCCTGCTTCTCATGAAGCGAAATTTGATCGAACTATGAATGAACCTAACTTTTCTTTATAGATTAAGCCATGTATATCTATCACGTCTCGACTGAATCCTAACGTGGTGAAACCTGATTTGTCTCCACGACCCTGCGAGCTATACACGACGGCACAATTGCAGGTCGAATCACCGCGGAAAGGTTAATGGTTAGAGGCCAGACAAAACTCGGTTTCACAAGGCTATCTAATCGGGCATCTGTCTTCCTTTGATCTCCCAATTTCGCATCTGGAGCGGCCATTGCGGCAAATAAATACCGACAACGGCCACTGGCACAGTGGATGACCGAACACATTCCCAAGCGGTTGGTACAATCAATGACGCAACAAAGTCTTACAGGTCAAACTGTTAAGATAAATCCAGGGTCATCAATCGTAAAACGTCTCATGGCAACTGGACACATCGTCGACCCACAAATGTCGGTCAAGCCGTTATTATATAAAATGAACCCCAGGATTTTGGCGTTTAGCGAGGCGATGCTAATCAAGTTACGTAACCCAATCTTGTGCGCACATAATCAATCAGACTACCATGGAACTGATTTCCCAGCCCATCCTCTCCCTCGCTTCCCTGACTATTGTCCGTTTTACCAATGTAGTTACCAAAACTTGCTTGTACAAATACCAGATTGTTTCACGTTGTAGCGATTGAAGAGATTAAAAGAAATGTTAACATCTCGCAGTATTTGTCTCTTATCGGTTCTGACATTTGGTACTTGAAGTTATCACAAAAGCGACCCACCCCCAATTGTTCATCATTGCCATTTTCTGAATTTTCCGAAGCAGCCACTGACTGATCACAAACGCTTTTTTACAACGATATACTGTGTAACTGGATACTAAATAGTTAAGGAGAATGCGAACTCACATATGAAAGATTAACTTACAAATTGAATGATATTTATTTCCCTTTTGGTGGTCGTTTTTTACGCTTATCTAAAAATAGAATTTTACTCTAATTTTTGAACTTTTCTTGGTAATTTATTGAAATATCGCGGTCGGTTAATTAGTATTCGTTAAAATCACATGCCTTTGCTACTTACGCAACGATTTATCGATTCTATTCCGTTCCGCCAGCAGATTAACTCGTTCTACCAAGGTAGATACGGCATTTGCAAAATCCATGGGTGGTTCTTCTCCCCGTCCAGTATAACCATGATAATGTGGGTTGATCGGACGGAATCGACGAGGGGGATAGATAGGCCTCGGATTTGTGGGGACAGGAGCACCATATGAGGAGGAGTCATACGAGTCCACTGATTCCGTCTCCGGGGGTTGACAGTAGAATGTCAATCGGGGTTGATGTTCCAGGTCCCTAGTTGTTGGTTTAACCGGAAGATTTGTTTCAATTTTCGGATCACGGGCTTGTGCTCCGGCCATCTGCAAATATTCTGTTGATGTGATTGACACTGAGTCATGATAATCGGTATCTGCCTCATCCGGTACGCGATTGGACTCTCGACTGGATTGATCGACAACACTGGAGATAACAATTTGTGGTTTGTCGGGTCTCACTTGTTCCCTCGTTAATCGATCTTGTTCGGTCGGAACAACGGATACTGGGGAATCGTGGAGATGATTGGTTGATGCGCGTGTTCTTGCCGCTGAACTACTTGGACTCATGCTCAGAATAAGACTGGCGGTATCCAGCCTGCTCCGGTCATCTTGCAGCTATAATTGGAATGAGGGTAGATGTTGAATAGGGAAGTTGATTGAATAAAGATATCATTGACATATCTTTAAGTTTCGTTTGGTAGAAATTGAAACCCCTAATCTCCTTTCAAATCCAGTATTTGAAGTTTAGAAACTTACAGATTCGTTTTGATGAAAACTCTACCGTAAATCATTAATTGGGATTAATTTGAAAATTCTAAAATAAACCCTATTCATCTCGTCGAAATTGAGCCATCTGAATCCATTTGTCTGGTTAAATCAACAATCAATACACGAAACATGAAGAGCGTTACTTTCATAGTTCACTGCATGTGACATCATCTGATCTATATATCATTACAAGGGAGTTCGTTTGACCGTATTATTGAAGAAAATTGGCTTGGCAGTTGGAGAGGCTCTCACTGGTATTCACTGATTCTCTAGATACAGGGTTCAAACCCAGTCACCGGTATCCGACATTGTTTGTAATTTGTTTTGGGATCTACCCGACTGAATACACAAGCATGTATAGGGTCCTATTGAATTTTCCGTTCCAACTCTCATGATGTTTTTCGTCATGAAATCATCAGTCTCTGTCAAAGTACACCATCTTTTCTACCGTTTATCAAACTGAGTTGTGTATTGAATGGAACGAGTGAGTTATTTTTTGAAACGAATAATAATAAATTTCTTCCCGTATTCAGAAATGTAATCACTCCTGACAAATCGCGGTGACGCACCAAGATAGAACGTATAAACGGACAGTGCTTTACAATGAGTTTTCCCACAGAATACATGAAATAGATAAAAAGAAGAAAATGTTCCACAAAATTCCCACTGAATACGTGGTTTCTTCAATCATCCAGTTTTGTTAAGGTGTGCAGTAAATCACATGAACGTGAGCTTATGGCCGAGTTTAAATGCTTCAAAACGACGCGAGTAAAAAAGACGGTTCAGATAGAATTTCCGTTGGGTAAAATCTTAAGATGTTTAAAATAGAAAGGAACCACTGTTGTCATCAGTTGCTGGGGCGGTGTTTATTTCCAGGTTCGATGGATTTCCAAGTATAACCAAACAAATGGCCCCACTGAGATCAGCTGAGTCT